ACCAAAGCAAAGATTGTATAACGAAAGAAGAAGTTATCATAGAGGAATAAGCATTACAAAATGTTGTGACAGTAAGGGAGAAGAAGAAGACAAGCTTGAGAGATGTTTTCTCCATTGCTAATTGTAATCTCAAAAAATCAAATCTTGTTTATTTTGATTGTAAGTGATGAAGAGAGAAGTAAAACTTGTCTTCTTTTATAGAATTATAGAAGTAAGTTAAATGGCAACAAATCTTTCGGATTTGGAGGTTTTACCTAGTTGAGTCAGATTCTAATTGATTACATATTTGTAGCTAGTCAAGATTGATATCTCTTAATTTTATGACACTAATTTATAATTTCTATATATAACACAATGGTTGTGATTTTGTGATCATAATTGTGTTATAAATAGAAATTATAAATTAGTGTCATAGTGTGCCTAGGGGTAGGCAAAAAGATCTTTTGTGATCTTTTCATAATTGTGTTATAAATAGAAATTATAAATCGTAAATTAGTGATCATAATGGTTGTGATTTTTTCACAAGATCATTTTTTTCATTTTCATTCTCGTGGCAAATAATCAATCTTGTATAGGTAACAACATGGTAACGATTTGTTACCCTCGTGCCTAGGGGTAGGCAAAAAGGAATTGGGGACAGACTGTAGAGGAACAATTCTACTTAAATTTCAGGATGGGAATGGGACGATACGGGAAGCGAAGGAAACATAGTTCTTAAAAAAGAGGAGTGAAAATCATAATACTCATATGAAAATAATTGTTATCTTAGGGAAAATAATGGAAATTAAGATAAGCTTGTATGTGAATTCTATATTTCCAATTTTCTTGTTATATAAAATTATTGAGTATATACAGTAACTTGTTTTGAGTAAGACTTCGGGAATTCCCATTCTGTCATCTTATTATATAAAGTAGAATGCGCGCGATGAGAGCTTGACACGTGTCAAAATTGTAACTCACCGGATCGTGACATGTGTTTACCATTGATTAGATTGTGACACATGTCAATATAAATCTCATAACCGGATCGTGACATGTGTTTACCATTGATTAACAAAAACAAGAAAAATAACAAAACATAAACNATTCAAGAATAGGAAAAGTAAGTAATTAAAAAACAAGAAATAGAAACAAATGTTAAATGGTTTAAAAAAAATATTTATTAACCAAAAAATGACAGAACATAAAAACAATAGTTTCCATTAAGTTAAAGAAAAAAAAAGGCCGACACTTTCATATTTCCTAAATGAAGTTTCCATT